ATGATCGATGTCGCGCTTCATTCGGCCTAACTAGTAAATGATTAATTTGTATTAGAATACTCGCCATTGAAATAAATTAAGCGAACCTGATTATGTAAGCCGAATGCTCCCGAGATGACTCCAAAAATCATTATTTTTCTTCAAACTTTTCTGGTTTTGCAGCCATCTTTAAACGGTACCAAGTGACTCGCGTACGCAGAGACCACCAACATCCTTGCTCGTTTCTCTATGATATATACTGTGATTTACATGGTTACGATGATTTTTTACTATGCCTCTTAAATGACAAAGGCTGATTTTGACCTTTTGATTATGGTGTAGTCCCTTTGTTTTTATTTGGGTTAGTTGGAATCGGTCTAAAATGTTCAAGATGAGAAACTCAACATTGGCGGAGCAAAGTTTTGCACAAATGATATCCACACCGCAATCCCTTAACATTACCATCCGCAAACCTGTGCGTTTCCGAATTCCGTTCCTCCTCATATACTTCATGGACGGTAACAGACAAGCGCGCGTGTGCGATCATAACCTATACCAAGGAACAATATGCAGCGATGAAAATGTGATGCGGCCGATTGAAGGCTCCTTTCACAACACATTATAAATACCTTGCGACCTGCCTGAGCAAGTGATTTTACACAACCCTGAATTAAAATGGAAAGTTGTCCAAAGATAAAAAATTATATTATATAATTTCAAAGAAGAGAACGTTTTAATAAAAAACATTTTATGTAATATATTTCCCAAACATCATGGCGGGTAAACATTTAGGAATTCTTTGTATTGCATAACATTTATCCCCACACTTCCCGTGGTCATAAGGGCAGTACTCTAATTCTACATCTGCGTAAATCATTGGTATTTTGCTTTATGGGACAGTGACCGACCATCGCGTCTCATAACATAAACCAAGTGGCGACGTCTTGACAAATTGAACCTTCTCTCTTCCATAAGAGCATATCCTAGTATAAAAGATCTTCTCCCCACAGTTGTTGTTTACTCTTTGTATTCTACTTTAAAACGTTTTGATTTCATAACAACCCACATATACACTATGAAACTGTCTGTTTTAAAAATATCATCTATTGAAGATAAATGATGCTCGAAACATAAACGATGCAGGGGGCACCGCGCAGAAAGCAGTCACAAAGCGATGCTGGCGTTGGACGTGATTCGATGCCGTTGGCGTGGCGTGGCAGTTGTCGTGGCGTGGTCGTGGCTGGCGTGGCGGGGTGGCGTGGCGTTGGCGTGCGTGGCGTGGCGGTGGCGAGGGCGAGCTGTGATCGCCCAACAATGACACTCGCCCAATGCAAAATACGCTTGCCTTTTCATTGCCGTGCTAAACAGACAAAACTAATTAACAGCGTTTTCACACCACCTATCAAATTATGATCGCGGCGATGCTCGTCACACATTAACGCAGAGTTTTTGCGAATAAGTAAACAATTGCCCCTCACGCGCAGAAAAATGGTCTGAGCCAACACGCCCTGCCTCGTCGGGGACTGTTAATGTTGCGAACGCGCGATAGCACGGCGCTCGTGGCCGGCCTCGCCGCAGATGATCGGTCTTTCCACATCCTTATCTCTTGAGCGCACACTTCACCTTCTAAGCACATGCACAAAGTAACATACATATTATTGTTTTTAGTAATAATTGCTACATATTACTTATTTCAAATGTGTATTGTTTAGATTTCAATAAGCAAAGGGTAGTCAGAATCAAATACTACTCGCTTGCCACAGAAAAATTTTTTGTATTAATAAAGGGTGCAAAGTTTTTTTCAAAATCAAAACAGTTTAATGGTTGAAAAAAAGTAATGAAACTCACTGGTCATAACAGAATATTAAACTTCCGCGGTTGATTGTTTGGTACAAATACTGGGAAGTCCCCAGATCGTTAACAGCATAGTTACAGGTTAAGTTTCGAGAGCTAGGAATCGGGTTTTTGATTTTTTCACTAACGTCGCCTCTTGCGCGCGCCTTTTTGACCCTACTTATAATATGAATCATACAGCTGAACAAGACTTATCGTACTCGAGAGGAAAAAAATATGCTATTCAGAAAAAAGTATGAGTCTTCATATCAAAAGCTAAATAGCCTCAGGTTTTGAGGAAATTGGCTTTATTGCGGTTGAAGTTGAAGTTTACTAGATTACTATTACTAAATTTATTAGATACCATATACCAGCACGTGTATAAGGTCATCAGCTATCATATAATATCTTAGTCTATTAGCAATCACTATTGGATTTAATGTATAGGTAACTAACTGTGAAATGATATTGGAAATGCTAGGAGGTGATAAGGGATGAACACCCAATTATAACCCATGCCCGTGCAGGCGACTCTCAAAACCCACGATCCCTTTCGCCCTACCAATATATTTAGAGGCATAAATTGCCGCCAAGTATTCATGATTTTTGAACGCCGTAACTATAAAAACTTGAACGCCAGTATCATCTTTCTTAGGTTTTTCATGCATAATTTGCGGCATAAATATGTATGAGTTATTTCTATTTGTTAAGCATCTCATATCGTGATCTGATCGTTAATGGTCGTCAGTTTACCACAATGAATAATGTAAAACTAATGTAAGGTCAATCCAATATTCCAAACATGTTAAAGAGATTACTTTATTACTTAATCAAGAATCAATTTTCCCGTATAGCGCATAGTCACAGAAACTACGTTCAGAAAAGGTGACTCTGGTGTCCGAAGGAAATGTTGGCCTTTAGGAAATTACTCTGGCTTTTGTTTATACTGTTTCGGTCGTCAGGGTACTAAGGCCGGTTTTAATATGGCTAACATTTTAGTACAATATCAAACAAACTTTTCTGCGATGTCAAGAATCTGTATCATAATGAAATATGTATCGCAATGATTATCATTATTCAACGGGTTGCAGTCATCAAATGACAGAATTACACAATAGCAGTAGGGAAAAAATTAATGATAGATTCCCCGTTCTCTCTCCGTAGAGTGGATCATCAGTGTGATTGATATTGTTCTCATGGCGAATATCCAACTGAATTCCATCAGACTGGAAGTGTGTCGTAAAAGTCGCCTTCTCGCCATCCGTGGAGAGCGTACACTGTGTGGAGGCCGCAGCGGTAGGCGGTTATGAAAACGCGGAATAACACAGCGCGTCAACAAGTGCCGTTCAAACAGCGCGCGCAAACACCGCGTAATTAGCTCGGCGTGGGAGAGGAGAGAGAGGACAGTAGCTCGTGGTCAATAGTTGCACATGCGCGATTATCCGCTGCTTTGCATTGCGCTCCGCCCCGATATTACGAATCGTTTCCATCGTTTCAAACGCCGTGCAATCGCAAGCGCCATTCTTCCCGAAGCACGCGGTGTCGCTGGCAACGTTTTGACACACCAGAATGCAAAGAATTATACTTTTAATTTTTTTTAAATCTCTGACTGTATAAAATACTTTTGGCATTTACTGGAAAATGTGCATCGCCATTCAAATACCTTCCACATATTTTGGATGTACTAATGAGATGCATTTTTGGTGCCGATTATGTAATGAAAATATATTAACTCACTTATATAAAATGTTCTCCATTAAATATTGGTGTGTTGATGAGTATTGTGATAGATGCTTAGAAATTGTAATCATTTCTATATCCTCATACCCATGCGCTTTGAAGAAATAAGATAAGAGTTTGCTTGTGAACATTAGCGTAGTTATTCGTGAAGCTTACACATCTAGGAAAGACATACAAACAGCAATTTTTTTCTGAACTTGGCTTGGTTAATCATAATCAACAGAATTCGAAAATAGAATACCCCCTTCTTCGACAAATAAAATAAAATAATAAAATAAATATTTAAGTTCAATTTGAACATGCAAAAGAATCTCAATATCCCTCAATATATTGTTCGAAAACGAAGTGTTAGCTATTTAATCAAAACTGATTTATTATGCAATTTTCAATATTTTACTACATGTTATTAGACGAATATAAATTCAATCACTCATTGAAACTTGAACACTTATTTTACTAAAACTTTGCTTACAATAATAAACAGTAATTCTACAATCTATTTTACTTTAAACGTATCTTATTCCACAGGAAGCAACATTTAGCATTTTGTTCTCACAACTCATGCAAATTATATCGCTTTTAGTAGTGTATCCTATCTATTTGCAGTTAATTGAACATATTATCCAGTCCCCTTAGTAGTTCTGAAAATTAAGATCAGTTTGAGAATTATAGTTTTGGGAAAGAATATAAGCAACTCTTTCTAAAGCTTAGCAATGATATGAATTAAATGTGAAACGCAATATTAAGAAATACAATAAACTAACAGCCATGTTGATAAGTATGGTTTATTAAAATAGAAAATAATTGATGATCTTCAAGAATTTATCACGGATTGATACGCTTGGTTGTATTTTTATTGATTGATTTAATGTTTTTAATATATTAAAGTCAGAAAATATTTGCTATCAAAGAGCATGCTGCCCAGTGACTGCTAATGCAATTATTAGATAAATGGAATAAGTTTGTGCTCCCACTCCTTAGTCGACTCGTGTCAATATTCCGGTTGGCATCGGCACATGTCGCACCAGACGCCAGAAGCGTCACAGCTGTCGACTTCGGGCTGTAATTGAGGGCTACACCGACAGGCGTGTTTCGCGGCGACCTCGCTTTGCCGAACGCCGGCCCCTCCCCCTCCCCAAGGGCTTGACGAGGAACGCGCGACCTCGAGGCGAGACGGAGAGGAGCGAAGCGGAGCGGAGAGGCTGTAGGTACCGCGAGGTTCGGCGGGGGCGGCCGGGGGGCGGGGCGTGTGTTGTGGTCCGGCAGAGTCCGCATACAAACGCGCAACTCGTCCTCTCGTCCCTCGCCCTGCCCCGCCCGCGCTCCATCCATTAGCAACATCAGGCACTTGCCACAACAGTCGGCGCGTGGAAAGCATGCTCGTCGATTCCTCGCCCTTCCGCCCACGCACGCACACAAAGCTCCAGCAGCAGAAGCGAGAGACTCACCGCACTGCCCGCGCCGCCGCCGCCGATCCGACGAACAGCCCCTGCCTCGCCCAGTTGCACGCAGCTGCCACATGTTGGGTCCACTTTCCACCATCATCCTCCTCCCACCACGCAAAATTCAACAAGCAATATCAAGAGCTGTTTGATAATACCTGTTGTTTCGTCTGGCCGATTATGAAAGCACAAACGTCTACTCACAATTTTGTCCACGAACACAAGAGCGTTGCCGTGGTATGTTGTCACACGTTTCCAGACATTTAATCGAAACCTAAATGTTAAATAATTAAAAATATTTTATGAATGGTACAACAAAATTAACTCATAAAAAATTGTAGTGCACGTCTTCCATAGTTCTGGTAATAACGCTTGAATATATCTTTTTTCACTTCTAGTATGTTACACATTATGTCTCACTAAAATATTATGTGACAACTCGAAAACTAACGGTGAAATCTTAAATAAACAACGAACTAATTCTCAATAGCACGTTTTAGACGATCAAACCGGTCACCCGCGAGAAGCACTGACGAACTACCGGCAGCTACTGTTGTCCAAACCGGAATGAACTCTCAAAGCCGATTGCTACTTGCTTGACCAATCAGCTTGCGCTACGTTTTCTACGTCATCATTGGAAGCTCAACTACCTGGACAGCCTCAAGATTTTCGTTGCGAATACAAGTGACATTAGTGGCAGCAGCACAGCACTCACAAGGGAGATCTGAGAAATACATTATCCACAAGGTCATATTCCTAGCTGGCTGTTGCACACGGAATGAGTTCGCCTTCAAAATACCTTCCACTAATATCTGGTAAGGAGGTAGCCAATAGACGGAGGTTGGCAGAAATGACAGAAGTGATTGCCAAAATTCAACAAAGCTCCACCAATATTTGTTTAAAATTCCGCTACATAGAATATATGTATCTATATTACAGACATTCCAAATTCCAATATCAGGAAATATCACTTAATGATTGCAGGATGTAATACATAAGTACAGCAGTGAATAACAATTATAGAACGAAATTTAGAGAATATGTAACTCCTGTTTCAATAGTGAAGTAAGTTTTTTTACTAATTTGAAAGGCGAGAAATTATCGAAATATTTTTATACATTGAAATGAAAAATTAATTTAAAATGGGACTGTGTAATTTACCATTTACAATTGGACGAGGAAAATGTACAGCACAACCAAGAGTAATTTTGCATGAATTGATTGAAAAATGAGGGCTCGTTCAAAATTTACGTAGGCAGAATAGTAATTTTTATCTTCTGTTCCTTTTTCACACGAGTTCGTCGAAAATATATTCTACAATATATGCTCTCTTCGAATTGGACGCAACTTCGGAAACCTGTTCTTTATTTCTGAAGAGCAAAAATGTACTACGAATTGAATAATAACTTACCGGAGTCAATAGAAAAGAACATAATTAACTTCCTATAATGTATTATTTCATTGAAAAGGTTTCATTAAAAATATTTTTCCTGTGTATTTTACCAATTTGACTTCTGAAGATTCATCAGTTCTTTAGTATACGTAGTACGTACCACATACACTTTTCAATTACTTCCCTCCCCTGCATCGAACAATTTCATGACAACCCGCTCCCCGATAGCGTGTGCGTATTTCTAGAATGAAACCACCTTGGCGCCACGAGTGTGGCACAGGCCCCGTGCTTCGTCTGTTCATCACCTTCAGCGGCGGAAGTGAAGTATTTCACGGAGTAAAGAGCGCCCCGCGGAAAGGGCGAGTAACCAGGGAGAACGCCTCGCGAGGCGCAGCTGTGTATCACGTGCATTGCCTTCACTCCACGCCCGCCGCCAAGCCAGAAGTGGGAGAGGGGAGGGACGGGGAGAGAAGTGCGTGGTGGAATGGCATGCGAGTAGTGGCAAGAAGGGGTGGGGAGGGGAGGGGAAACGCCCGCCCCGGCGAGCCTTGGCCTTCGGATAAAGGGGCGCGCTCAGGCAGCCTCATGCCGCGGGCATACAGTTTGAATAATGCTGGTAGGGCCAGTTAAAGAAAGTCACCTCCGCCGGTTATGTTTGTCAATACGTTAGCAATCATTCGTTTATCCAAAAAGCGGCCCCTGGACGGTCAATATTTATGGCAGTATATTGCACAATATATTGTGTAATAAAATTGCTGAGCCAACCTACACTACACAATGCTTTTGCTCGTTAATTCACCGCTGACACTTTTATAGTCAACTTGTGAAATAATAAGAAAACAGAATCAGAATAATAACAGAAAACAGTGTGGTCATTGCAGTACTTGAGGTTTCAAACAAAATGGAGAAAATGAATGGCTGGTGGATAAGTAAGTGGTTCTAAAAAAGAAATGAATTCACTCATGAAAATTAATTAACAGAACTAAGAATTAATGAAACAAATGATTTTCAAAACTTTCTGCGACTAGACGATAAATTATTTGATGAACTGTTGAGAATCGTTCTACCTGAAACCTCTTTTCTATTTATACCCGTAGCCATTTTTGTCGATGTTCACTGTAACATTGTGGGGTGACTGACTCAGTATTGCGCAATATTAGCCACAGACGACACAATAATTCCTAGATTGCACTACACAAATCAAACTCATTTTGATTGACTCCATATATTGAGCAATCTTTCAATATGATCTACAGACGTCAATATTATTGTAAAATATCCATTATTGTGCACTGTATTCACGTATTATACCGGTGGACCACCTACGTTGGCCACAAATATCTTGAAGACGGTTTGAGATATCGAGATGCTGTTTGCGCCATGTTGTGGCTAATAACATTCCCGAATTTTGTTTTCGTGTTACTACCGTGTAACTTTAGAGATGTTGACACAACTTTGTATTTTTAGATGGTAGTATGTATTTTTTCTCCAGTATTATAAAATACTTTAAAAATGCAATGCAAGGATATCAATATTGTTAATATTCGAAAAGTATTTTTGGCAAAAACGGTGTATTTAGAATTTGATAAACGCCATGCTGAAGCGTGCAAGGACAGTTGACCTTGCTGACATCGTTTACGTGAGTCGACGCTCCTCTCTTGCCGAAAAACGAATGTTATGAATTAGTTATAAAAACCTTCATTAACGTTATTTTGTTTTGAATTATTACAACATGCGAACAGAATTGTTATAAAATGATTAAATAAAAGTAAATAAATATACTGCGTTTTGTCGTCAGTGTACACATGTTTTTTTTTCTTTTTCCTTGGAATACGAAAGGTTCCCCAAATTAAAATTTAATGAAGATATTTAGATAAATATTTCCGCTGAAATATTTGTGATTTCGAACACTCCATCTTCCATGCGCATGTAGAACTTATGAAAGCTCAAAACCGAGGTCATTTGCATTTCCAGGAAGAGCATACGAAGTCCCGTAATCGGCGAAATTCCTCGTTTTCCGACCAGGTCCATCGTCTATGTTATACGTTGTCCTTGCGCGCTTCAACATGGAGTTAACCTAGTTCTAATTGTACTGTTTTCGCAACAAATACTTTTCTAATATTAATAATATTTATATCATTGCATTTCATTTTTTAAGAACTGTAGAATGCTGGAGGCAAAATATATACTTCCACTTAAAAAACTAAGTTGTAACAATATCTCTAAATTTACATACGTTACTAAAAAAAACCAAATATGTTATTTGCCCCATCTGCAACAACATGGCGCAAACAGCACCTCGATACTTCAAACCATTTTCAAGATATTTGCAGTGGCCAACTTAGGTGGTCAACTCTGTATATTTTACCATCTACGGGCTGTTTAATTCACGTAATTTCATGGAAAAAACTAACCTTAGAGACGAATTTTCATTTATTTTCGTGGTGCAATTCTCTTGGAACGCGAGGATTACTGAGTAAAGAAATTAAATTAAAAAGAGTAGTGAATAAAAATTAGAATTTATTTCAATGTCCTTATTTGTAAAAGACTAAATTCTATACAATAGAATATGTTGCGTTTAATAAAAGACTTCATTGGAGGGAACTTCAAGGGATCCGACATTGGGGTGATTCAAGAATGAAAACACAATTTTCAAGAAATGTGATACGCTCCATATGTATTTTTTTATTATTAACCAGGCCCATTTATCTCCCAAACATATGTAGTTTTAAATATAAAAAAATCTGACCGAGGATAGATTTAAAAAGAAGGTTGTCGTTCAAAAGTAAATGAAAATTTGTTATCAGACACCGTCACGGAACATCGCTTTTTACACCCCTCCACATTCCATCAAAACTCAATCCTTCCATCTGGAGAATCCAGCAGAGCAAACGTCTACAATTCCGCAGGGACGAGGCAAACGACAAACCGATCGTGTTACAGCAAACAAACGACGAAGCAGTGGAGATATTCGTGTCACGGGCGTGCGTTGACAGGCGCAGTCGCTGCCGAAGAGACGAGATGGCATCTCATATTCGGCGGAGGCGACGCAAAGTGGAGGCGGGGGCGCGGCGCGAGTTCGACAGCTGCGCCGCAGCGACGGGGGGNGAGACACGGAGTGGGCGGGGCTGTCAGCGATCGCCGCGGGGGCGACGGCTGTCACCGCCGGCGCCGATTGAGTTGCCTTGTAAACGTCGGCGCCAGCGCAAGGTGCCTGCACCGCCTACAACAACACACGCGGAGTTCCCTCAACGCAGGAACCCAAACAGCAGTGGCTTACCATAATAATACTCTAATTTTGTATCACTTTAAAGAATTCATTTGTATGTGTGTACAGCAATTTGTTTCTTCTTGTTCAGCCTAAATGTTTTTCAGGGTTTTTAATAATGAATTAATTATGTTTACAATAACAATTTGAGAGCAGTCTTTAGGCTAATAATTTTCATTCATGAGAGATGTGGTAATATATTATTAAAAATTAATAATTTTGTTTTAATTTAAATACTATTATTTATATATTTTTGCTTTGGATTTAATTGGATGCCCCAATTATCCAGCAAAATATTTTCATGACAAATAATAAATTAAAATTTCATGAAGTAAAAAATTAATGTTCTCCAAAATGATGAAAATGCTAGTTACAGAAAAATAACTCGAATGTAGATTGAAAAGCTCTCTTTAAAATAGAAGAAACGTATTGACATAATTCTTTACAAATGTGAGACGATTGCTTATCGAAATGGTTGAATCACGCAATGTTTGTATTGTTTTAATTATTGTTTCCACTCTCATCTGGTGTTTATTTGACTCGGGTAATGAAAAG